ATATATATATAGAGAGAGAGAATATTGTAACAAAATTAATCTCAAATTTGTATCAATATACAAAATTTGTATACAATATACAAAAGTTCAATCTAATGTAAAACATTTAAAACTAGCAGTTGCTTTATTTTTTTTTTAAAGATTTATTTATTATGTATACTATGGTCTGTCTGTGTGTATGCCTGCAGGCCAGAAGAGGGCACCAGACCCCATTACAGATGGTTGTGAGCCACCATGTTGTTGCTGGGAATTGAACTCAGGACCTCTGGAAGAGCAGCCAGTGCTCTTAACCTCTGAGCCATCTCTCCAGCCCTAGCAGTTGCTTTAAAAGTAGAATCTACCTTTTTATCTTATCTATATCTTCCCATTTTTCTTTTCAGAGTAGGTTCAATAATTTACCCTTTTATCATATCATATCTATATCCCCTTTTTTTCAAAATATGAACCTTGAATCTAATTTCATTTATTTAGCTTTTTTTCATGACCATTACAATTACTTGTAACCAACCCCCCCCAAACAATGACAAATACCTATAATCTATATTTTTTGGGAATGTGGGCATAGTTTTCTAGGCTACTTCCTGCTGATTGGGGGTGCTGGTAATCTTATGGGGACCCAAAGAAAATTTAGGATTATGGTCAAGCCCAAGTCCTGACTGGAGTATTCTTTGAGGCTGGATTATCTCAGCCAGCAGCCTTGAAGCTGTTCTGGATGCAGAACTCAGAAGAAACTGCAACAGAGATGCTCTGAAACGTTGGTGCATCTGGGCCATCCATTCTCATCAGAGATTTTTCTGGGGGTCTTCCTTGATCTCAAACCTTATCCACAGAATGAATTTCTGTCCACAGAATTGAATCCACAGCCTCTCATTTCCTGTGGAAACAAAAGCAAAACCTCTTTTCCAAAGTAATATATCTTTTGACTTAAATTTTTGAAGTCAAGGCATTTTCAAAATATATAGGTTGGATTAATCCAGCAGCACTTATAAGCCAATGTCTTTTAGCAGCTGTTGCTCCTTCCTCAGCAGTAAAACAATTGAAAAACAACACAATAACATAGTGTCCAGATTCTCTGTGTATTTTTCATCTTTATGTGGCTTTTTTAAAATTCTATTTCTTTTTAATTTTTGTTTTTTTGAAGACAGGGTTTCTCTGTATCTTTGGCTGTCCTGGATCTCATTCTGTAGACCCAACTGGCCTCAAAATTAGAGATCCACCTGCCTCTCAAGTGCTGAGATTAAAAGCAAATGATCTCAGTGAGGAGGAGGGCGTGCGATCTAGATGGTGGTGGTCACTGCGCCCAGCTTTGGCTGTGCCAGGATTGTGGAGCCTCAGCCTCGCAAGAGCAGCACCTCAAAGGTATCAGTAACCTATGTGCAATTGGCCTGATGAGATTTCATCAAGACCATCTTCAGATACTTTTAGTGTTTACCAAAGAAGATAACCAGTGTAATAGATTCTACAGGACATGTGAAAAGGCTGCGTTTAGGCACACAGTCACCGAGGAGGTGCAGGCTGTCCTTACCTATTTCCTGGACAAACTCCATGACACCATCAGAGACCATAGAAATCCTTGACAGCTTAGATGCACTGTTCAGGTCTCCCACAAAGCACAGTTATTGTTGGTGTAGTGGGAGACAAAGCGGAGGTGTCTTTAGTGTGCTCGTCGTTGCTGCTGGCTTCACAAGGAGGGTATATAGAAAACCCCAGCATGGTGGCCTGTGGCAATGAACCGCTCCAGTTGCTATCAGTATTCACTGCATTAGAGAAAAGTCAAGATGCAATTGGAATTACATGTGAAGACCACATTCTACAGTATGCATTATCGATCAGGTGAACTGAGGTTGTGGGTGTGAACTTGAACCCCTGATCCTCCTGCCTTCCCTCACCAGGTGCTGGGAGCACAGGGATGTGTTGTCCGTCATTTTAAAAACAGTTAAAACATTTCATTCCTGGGCATTGATCCCAGAGAGGCGGGGGATATGCGGCCCACCCTGCATGCTCATTGGACAACAGGTCATGTCCATCAGACACTGAGGTACTTTCCCCTCTTGGGCTACTACACCCAGTGCCATGAGGAAGCTGTTGCCTAGACCCAAGCTTTAAGATCTTTTGGGCATCTGCCAAGGGGTGGGATTGTTGGGGTCTGCAACCGTTCAGATACCAAGGGGACCTCTCTCCCAGAGGCCGTGTCTCATTATCACCTGAGGAGCAGGAGCAGGGTTGAGACCCTTCTTCCTCACCGACACTTCTAGAACTTTTGGAATTGCACCATCCTAGTAGAAGGGGACCTCTCCGCAGGCTTTGAGTTCACTCCCCTGGTGGCGAATGAGGCTTCGCTCCTATTCTTACTGGCCGGCCATGTGGTTGCTGGAGAGCTTTCTGCTCATTATCTTTTGTCCCTTTTTTCTAAGTCCTGAGTCCTTTGTCAGACTGAGCCCACCAGTAGATGTGTAATTTGCAGCTAGGCCACCTCTTCCGCACAGTGCATTCACACTCTTGAGACTTTCAAGCTCGCATGCTCTAAGTCCTAAGGTTCAGCTTAGTCTCTTCGTTCCTCATGCCATTGAGTTATTGCAGCGGAGATTCCATCACCAGAGCTGAGGCCGTCAGTCAGCTTTCTTCCTGCCACAACAAATACCTGGTACAACCGAGTTATCAAGTTTTAGAGTAGCTATGATGTATAATCCTATAATCCCTGTACTCAGGAGGTGGAGGAGGAGGGTAAGGAATTCAAGGCTGGCCTGACTGTGCAAGGGCATTTCAAAGAAATGTTTTCAGCCTGCACCACAGAAGCTGGAAGCTCTGGGTGGGCACTAACTTTAGACCTCTGTTGGGGTGGACAGATCATAATGGTGGGAGCATGTGTGTGAAACCATTCCCCTTGCGACCCATATGGCTGCACACCTCCTCCAGGGCTGGTGGCAAGCTGGGGACCAAGCTTTTAACACATTGGCCTTTGTGGAACCTTCCAGATCTGAACAGCAGACAACACAGAGACTTCCCTTGTTTTCCTTGGGGGTTTTCTAGTTTCAGCTCTTGTGTCTGTCTTTGTTTGCTCCATTCCCCTGCCTCCCTGCCCCCTCCCCCCACTTAACCAGGCTGGCTCAGGTTTGGTGAGTGCCCTAGTCCCGAGTACATGAGCATGCAGTACCCGCTGCCTGACTGAAGCGGCACATTTTGCGTATGGCCTGAATTGTCGTCAGCTGTCCCGGTTTTTTCCCTTTTTGGGAGCGAGACAAGCAGGTTCAATTTTCCTCACGTCTGTCTCTTCCAATCTTTGTGTAGGAGATGCTCTCCAGCTGGGAAAGGTAGGTTGCCAGTGTGCAATGGTTAGGGCTTGGACTGTCTGCTCACTGTGTGGCTTGGGACAGTAGGCTGAGACTCAGTTTCTCCTCAAGGGTAAGACAACAACGTGGATGGAAGACCCCCAGGTCTCCGCGTAATCCTCAGGCCACCCTGAATTATCTTCCTGGGAAATCTTGGACAATAATGTCCTTATTTCACCAGCCCCTCCCCCCCCAACAGATGCATGCACACACACACGAGCGATCACACATCCATCCTTCATGCACACAGCTATGACTCATTCAGTCTCGGGTTCCTGATTCAGCCATTTAGCTCTGCGGTCCCAGACACTTGGATTTCATTCCTTGGCAAAAATCTCCAAAAGATATTTTTGGGACCAACATAGGGTTGCCAATGTTTTATTTTATCAAATAGGACATTCAAAATAGCAAGCCCGACCACCTGTTACAAACTGGAAAAAGACCTATGAAGGACAGCTCCCCTGCTCCTTAGCTGGGGAAAAGTGGACAACTTCTCTTCTTACTACTCTCAGAAACGACTTCTGCCTCTCTTGATAAAACACAAATTCCAGAAAAAGCAACCTGCGGGGGGGGGGGGGCTCACAGGAATGGTGGCCTTTTGAGGGGTGAGGAGTAGACAGACTGTGGGGGAGGGGATGGAGTTTGCCTCAGCTGGTGTGACCTGCATCCTCAGCAGCCTCCCCACCTCTGTGTTTCCCCAAACAAAAGCATTGGGGATCTCACCACCCCATCCCGCCCTACCCCCAACCTTGCAGTTGAGTCTTCTCAGGCCTTCCAGCTGCTCCCTTAGTCTGCACCCCAAGGCTGTGAAGAATACAGGGTCCACCTTCAGTGTGTGCCTCAAGTCTGTGAAGAATTGTTCTTGCAAAGTCCGTTTGGGTCACAGGACCCCTGGTGTTGGTGGCTCAGTCTGGCTGGACTGTCAAGCGCTGCATTTAAGAAGCCCGCTCTCCACCACCCGGGTTCCCAGTCTCGGCATGCACTCCTCTTCCTTTAACACGCACGCCCGTGCCACTAGAGGAAACCAATCAGAAAGCAGAGGGAGGAAGTGCTTGGGAGTGTGACCACTGGCTGTGCCAATAGTGTGTAGGAAACATCACAGAACTAGAGACTTAAGTCCACTTAAAGGGACGTTGTTGCAGTTGGGCCGCTGCCGTGTTCAGAGGCCTGGAACTGACCAGTACCCTCAAACGGTTGCTAGTCTACACAACACCAGATTTTGCTCGGAAAGATGAGTGATTTAGCTGACTAATTGGGCTTTTCTTTGCATTTTAAATCATGCTCTTTTGCTAAACTAATGGACCCCCTATTTATAGATAACTCCAACACAAAGTGACTACTAATTACCACAATTAATATCACGTTAAGGGCTTGCCAGCCAACTTCACAGCAACTCCTGTCGCCTACTCCTTTTCAATTAAGGCACACTGCCAGGGGACACTGGTTATTAGCAGGGGGCCTTAGGGGGTAATTACTGCTCACAAAGTCATTAAGCAGTCCCCTACAGGGTTGGCCCATGGCGCCTGGGGGTTGGGGGCTGGGATCTATGTCCTATCTGGAGGCCAGGAAGGCTCAGAACCCCAGGCAGCCCACAGATGGTGAGCATGACCCCAAGCTTGCTAGGAGGAGGACAGCTGAAGTTAGGGGGCTCGGGGGCAGGCAGAGGCAGCTGAGGGGCTGAGGGGGGTGGCCCTTCCTTCAAAACAGATAATGTGGCAAAGACAGGGGAGCTGACAGGCCCATGGCCTCTCTCTGGCAGCAACAGCAGCTGGAGGCCTCCTCTGGGACAAGCCTGGTTATCATAGTAGGGCCTCTGCGATGAGACTCTGAGAAGAGACAGCTGCAGGGGCACAGAACAGAGGGCCTTGGTCTAGGCACCCTCTGCTCCCAGACCCGGCTTCTCAGGGGTCCACCTCAAGGGGCACTGGGTTCTGAAGAGCTAGAGAGCTGGGGGAGGCCCCTTGGAATTCTGGGGGACAACTTGGGTGGCTATGGGGGCCAGGGCATTAAGTAGAAACTGAGGCCAAAATTGTGGGAGACGAATATTTGTACCAGTACAGTGCAAGCCAAAGACTGGCTTACTATTCAGATGGATGGGGACACTGGGCGTCAGAGCTCGGGCTAGACCCGAAAAGCCCGAGGAGAAAAGACCAAATCCACGACTGTCCAATTAGAGCAAGCTGTGATTTGGGTGCATCCCGGACTGGCCAGCTGGCTGCCTCACCCTAAGTCGGGGTCTGAGAGAGCAGCCCGTGCTGGCCTCTTGAGGGTCTTTTCTAAGGGGGAGGTAAGGTACTCACAGGGGCGAGAGAGTTGGCTATTGTTAGAAAAATCCAATGAAAGAGGAGGACCAAGGGCATGAGGATGTGCGCCTTGTGAATGGAGTCGCAGTTCAGCGTGGGTTGAAAAATGTCTTGCGGTTTACATCTAAGAGACAGGAACTTCTTAATTACAATAGAAACCTTAACCTGCAAGGTATCCTGTCCCTGCCTTGACCTCACTCGCTCCTGCAGGGGTTACACAGCTGTGCAGACGCAGTTGAGCCAGGGGAAGGAGGGACATTGTGCAGGGCTGGCAGCCACGTGACAAGTCCTTTGTACGGCAGGTATAGAAATATTTTTCAAGTTGGTCAGAGTTGGCGAAGTTCTGAAAAAAGTTTCCCCTCCCTCCCACCCTCCTTTTTGTTTTGCTTTGTTTCATTGTCTCAGGACAGCGTTTCTCTTGTTCTTTGACCCTTGCGAGTTTGTCCAGTCAACTCCCTGAGCGGTCATGCTGCATTGCGGTCTCAAGACTCAGAGAAAGCAGGGTTAAGACGAGGAAAGCCGTTGTGATCAGAAGCGTCTGCATTGTCCCCTTCAGTGTCCCCACCCTGACCCCCTGGCTCCTGCTGCCACCCCATGCGCTGGGGAAGTCCTGCCCACCATTCCCTGCACCTCCAAGCACTCACCTGGACCCTTGGCATCCTTGCCCTTTCTATGGCCTCTAGTGACTTTGGCTTCCATAAGCCGCCTACAGGACATCAACACAGCATGCAGGAGGGAGAGACATATCTCTATATCAGGACAAATTTGCCTGCAAACACCTCCTCCAAAAGAACAAAAGCTGTGCAAAAAAAAGTGTCTTCTTCCCTGTAGCATAGGGAAATCCAGCTCTGGCCTTGGGGTGTCATGGACCCATGATCCTTTACCATTCCCACTATATGACTTCTACCTCCTGGTCTGAGATGGCAGCCATCACTCTTCTCTGCCTCCGGCTGGGAGGACAGGGTGGAGGAACCTGAGGGCCAACAACCACTTGCTAAGGCCCAGGTAGGTTCCCTGCTACTGGCAGCCCAGCCAGAAGTACCAAGCGCCTGGTGGGCTTGGCTCTAATCTCCTTTTACCTGACAGGCACTACCCCAGGTTCAGGATGGCTTCCCTTGCTTCCAGGGCCAGCAGTGGTCCCAAGAAGGCAGCGTGAATTAGCAGGGCACCCTGGCATGCCTTGGCCAGGGCAGCCAGGGAGCGCTAAAGAGGACTGCCTTGTTGCTACCACCTAGGGAAGGGCACTGTCCAGAGAAATACGAAAATCTCCGACAATGCCAGTGAGGCGAGTCTTTGTGGGAGCCAGGGGTTCCTCACTCTGGCCCAGGAGTCAGGGATGGGGGCAGGATAGGATTTGCATAATCCTACAGGTAGAACTTGGGTTCACTTCTCAGCACTCAGACTGCTGGTCTAGTCTTTCTGCTTCTGTGCTTTTAATTTCCTTCAGCGGGTCCTGAAACCAGGGGGCGGGGAGGATTCATTATAGTCTTAGGATCTGAGATCTGGGGGAGGCAGGGCACCCACAGAGTCTGCTCCCTACCAGCAGGGCAGGACCTACCCTTCTTGGAAGCTGGGATCTTTGGCCAACCACACAGGAATATGTGACTGAGGACACCAAAGAGTGATGGCCTTATCCATAGGATTGTTCTGTGGGTGTGAATGGGCACAGGGAGTCATGGAGCCTCAGTAGAGAAGAGGAGGGACTGAGCAGTAAGTCATGTCAGATCCACAGAATGATGCCAAGGGGGACACAGGTTACCACTGAGCCTGGGGATTTGCAGAAAGGTTGGAATACAGGGTTGCACCAGGAGCTCGGAGCTGGGTCGGAAGCCCGGGGTAGGATGGCAGGTTAAAGATCATGGTCCCGTAGGCTGAGCCCTACAGGCAGTGCTCACTTTTTATTGAGCACTTACTATGCAGCAGGCATCAAGTTCAGGGTGGAAAATGTTACATCCATTTATAGCTCCACAAAGATCCCATGTGAGCCACGCTGCTTTGGTCTGGATATGGACAGTGTTAAAGGCTGGGGACTCAGGACGGCTGCACTGGGAGAGGGACCTTTAGGAATTGGGCCTGTGGAGTAGCTACATGTGGCTGGGGGGGTGCACCCTCACAGGGGAGGAGTCAGGCTGGTAGACCTCTCTTCTTTCAGGCTAAAGCTGTTACCTGGCTCATCCTACCGTGAGGCTCCCCTACACTGTGTTGCCCACCCTTCAGAGCCCCAAACCAACGAGGCTTGCCCAATCTTGAACTTCAATCTCCAGATTCATGAACCAAAATAAACTTCCTTGTTTCCCAAGTAGATTTTGCCAGGCTTCATGTGCCAATGATGCAGCTCCAATGCAGATGCTATTCATTTTATAGTGGAGCTGCGAGGCTGGCGGTATTGGGAGTCTGCCCAGGCCTCAGCTGCAATCTGTGGGGATGTCAGTCACTCACTGCTGGTACCTGTTCACATGGCCTGCTCAGGGGTCAGAAACCCCGAAAGAGCCCATGTGGGAAAGGTCATAGGAGGCAAAAGGAGGCCCTGGAAGTGGGGGAACTGAATAGCTCTGGGGGGAGGGCATTCCAGCAGAGCTAGGAACCACCCACCCACCCATCTGGGATTGTCCCAGGCCCCCCAGTACCCTCTCTATTTTCAAGACTAGCATCTCGGCCTCAGTGCATAAAGATCGTGAACCAAGGGAGGGCATTAGGACTGTGGGTGACTGTGTCCTCAGGCACCCATGGTCCTGCTATCCCTTCTCCTCCATATAGATGCCATATTGGGCTATCTCCCTGCTTTGACTCAGCAGGAGAAGCAGGGGACACCAGCATCACACACCCATCTGCCTTTGTACCCAGCTAGTGTCAAGGATGTCTCTGGACCAACTGTGTTTTCCACGATGGCTTTTCCCTCTTCAACAAGGCAAGCTGCCCACTCAGTGGCCCAGAAGTAATGGGCAGGGTACAGACAGTTGGTGGCTGCCACTGGAAACAGTAGGCACTAAATAAATGCTTCTTATTCTTCTCATCTTTCTCTGCCCCAGTAACACAATGAGCCTTGAGGAAATTTCTGGTTGTTGATAAGAAGCCACAAGTGACTGTATCTCATTTCACGTCTGTTCAAGCAAACACAAACATTTCGCTCCTCCGTTTCTTTTTGGGATACTAATGGACATCAAAGAGAAGGTCTCAGGGCCCACCACAGCACCAGCCAAGCATCTGGAGTTTAGGTAATTGGAGGATAGTGAGACACATGGTTAATTTCTCCTGGCCACCCACCACGACAGTATCCAGCTGACACCATCTCTGGCTGATTCTACCCCACCAAGCAAATGTCACCATGGTCAGCCATGGGTTCCTCCCCTTTTCTCTCTGGATTAGATTCCTAGCTTTTCTTCATCTTCTGGACCTTGGGCTACTCGACTGGTCCTGCCTCCTCTTCCAGCTTCTTGACAACATCTGTCTCATCAACAGTCCAGGGCCAGCTCTCAGCTATGCACCGGGCTGCCTTGACGGCCCATGTCTCTGGGCTGCTAGCCAGTGCTGTGAAATCCCAAGGGAACCAAAGCAGATCACGAGCTCCTGGAGACCACAGTTAGTTTCTGGAGAGGGATTGCATCTCTCCATCCTCAAAGAGCCCAGCTGCC